GATCAAAAATAATTTCTCCCGATAAAACTAGCTCAAATTTTACGTTTTTTCATATAAAAAAAGAAGTATTTAATTTTTGCATGGCATCATGACGAGTAAGAGAAATTATTGGTATAACCAGTGTATAACATCGCGAAGTAAGTTATGTCACGTCGTAACTTTGATCGTTTGGAAGTGTTATTTGTTGTTCATTTACTGTAAATGTAAACGTTGGAAGCTGATGGTCGGAATAATAACCAACAATCCACCAAATAACTACATGGTCGATTTTTTTGAAGGAGAATTCTGTAGTAAATAAGACCATGAAAGTGGTGAACATAATCCTGGCTCAAACGTTTCAAATGAGTTTCATTTAACCTTTTACAATTTATTGTTTCTTTTTAGTCTGCAGCATTTGCATTTCGAGAATGTTTCATTTTTAAATTCAAACTCTTCTAAATTGTGAAACGTAATATTTTGACTCCAAAAAAAAAAATATTTTCCCTGTGACGGAGCTCATTAATATTACAAAAGTGTCCAAAATAAAAGTGTTTATAACACTGTGTGAAGTAAATAAATATCTGCCACTTTGTTTTTAAAAATATATGTTTATTGTGTGGGTGTAAATGTGCTTTGGTCAATTTCCATTATTATGTAAATCATATGTAAATTAGGCCGCCACAGTGGTTTAAATTCCTGGGGAGAACACTGACTCGAATTCCAAATATAGAATGATTACACACATAAGTGTGTTCTAATAATAAAAAACAGAAATGGCTGCCCCCAGGGTTTGACCAATTCCAACACTAAGAAGTTCGCTAAATGTTCTAAACGTTTTGGATTACGGCATTCCCATGATGAATTCCTGGGAGGAAAAGTTGTATATTAATAAGGATATTACGAAGATACTGCAAAGTATGCACTCTGACAGTACGTGGTTGCAACAACCTCTAGTCCGTGTCGGTCGATACCCCCGCTGTACTGTCTTCATGCATACTTTGCAGTATCCTTGTAATAAACTCATAATCTACAGCCTTGCTTGTGTGTATATACAATTTTAAAAGTATGTCAAAAAAAAAGGGTTTTACATTTCTTTCTTTTTTTTTTCCAAAAAATTACATAAATTCAATTTTTGACTCCCATGTGCGAAGCACAAAATGGGAGTCTTTGCAGTTAGTATGTCTGTATGTGTGTATGTGTGTATGTGTGTGTGTATGTGTGTCCGACTGTTCCACTGCTATCTCAAGAACCATACATCGGTTTTTGATGAAACTTGGTGCATAGATGCTCTGGGCCAATGCGCAGATTTGATTAGGTTTTGGTAAAAATCCATGCTCGTTAATTACCTAATTTGCATGATAATTAGCTAATTTTTAGCTGTTCTATGACTGTTCCACTGATATCTAAAGAACCACTCATTGGATTTTGATGAAACTTGGTACATAGATGCTCTGAACATATGCGCAGATTTGATTAATTTTTGGTAAAAATCCGTGCATATTAATTACCTAATTTGCATGATAATTAGCTATTTTTTAGTGGTTCCATGACTGTTCCACTGATATCTAAACAACCACTCATTGGATTTTGATGAAACTTGGTACATAGATGCTCTGAACTAATGCTAGGTTTTGATTAGTTTTTGGTAATAATCCGTGGATACTAATTACCTAATTTGCATAATGATTAGTCAATTTTCGGTTTTTCCACTGATATCTCAAGTACTAATCATCACATTTCAATGAAACTTGGTACATAGATGTCATACGACACTGCACAGACCTGATAGTTTTTATGGTAATATCAGTACATATTAATTACCTAATTTGCATAATTAATTAATTTTCAGCATTGATATAGTAGTTAGCATTACATTT